CCTGAGGACCTGTTTATTTATAAGGAACAGCCAAATGAAGGTCCCACTCCTGGCTTGGAGAGTCCAAATTTAAACTGAAGTCCCTCCAAAAACCAATTAAATCTATTCCCTAACAAAACCCACCAATGTATCACTGTAAGTCTATAAAGCCAAGGGTTTTAACCTTGCCGTTCACACTCTCTCAAGAGCTTTAGTACTCCTTGGTTCAGAAGTGTCCCAAGAATGAGGTTCTGTGATCACCAAGCTGAGACTGACACTGTACAGTTTATTCCAACAGAAGCGATGATATTTACACAGCAAGAATGGCTTTCCCTGCTCCATGAAATAAGACCTCCTTGCTTTAAGCATCCAACGCTAATTACAGCCATCCTACTTCTCTCTACTAACCACTCTCTGATCTCAGTGGAAAAGTGCATCCATTAAAATGCTTACTCGTTAGGATTCCTTCTTCTCTGGCCTTTCTTAGACCTCACTCTATTAGTCTGTGTTAGTCTCTCACATAATGCTTCCACTGTATTTGTAGAAGATAAATTTTCAGGTACACTACTCTGTTTTAAAAGACAAAACAACGTTAAAGTGAACGTTTTTCACAAATTTATCATAGAATTTGATTAGTTTACTATAGTCACATAATCACTAATCTGGTCTTTAGACTAATTAGAAAAGACTGTCTTTGTGTCTGCTACCTTGACTAATGTATTGGAAGGAAAGAGGGAAAGAAGGAAGGAACGAGGGTGCCTGGTGGCTCAGTCAGTTAAGCATCTGCCTTTGGCTCAGGTTATGATCTAGGAGTCCCAGGATCCAGTCCCGCTTCGCATTGGGCTCCCTGCTCAGTGGGGAGTCTGCCTCTCCCTCTGCCCCTCACCCTGCTCATGCTCTCTCACTCTCTCTGTCTCTCTCTCAAATAAATAAATAAATAAATAAATAAAATCTTAAAAAAAAAAAAAACAGACGTATCTGGATTTTGGGGAAAAAAAAGAAGGAGGGAAGGTAGGATGGAAGGAGGGAGGGAGGGAGAAACTTGCTTGAATAAAGCTATTTCCCAAGATGAAAATGCATCACAAAAGAGAGAAATTATACTTAAATAACAGAAAAAAATTAACTCTATTCCTTGACAGAACCAAGGTTAACTTTGAAGGAGGCAGGAAAAGGTGCTGGCAGGAGCTTCACAATTATTATCTCATTTAATCCTCACAGCAACACTGAGAGGATGATCTGATTATCCACATTTTACACATGAAGACACCAAAGAGCAGAGATGTAAAGGAACCTGCCTACAGAGACACTGGTGTTGTGATTCAGGGCTAGGGTTTCCACCCCAGCCTACAACCAGGTAGTCCACGCCTCTAACAAATTACACTAGTGCTTAATTATGAAAATTACAGTTTGGTTTTTTTTTAGATTTTATTTATTTATTTATTTATTTATTTATTTGAGAGAGAGAGCAAGAGCAGGAGCAGAGGGAGAGGGAGAAGCAGGCTTGCCGCGGAGCAGAGAGCCTGATGCGGGACTCGATCCCAGGACCCTGGGATCATGACCTGAGCCGAAGGCAGATGCTTAACCATCTGAGCCACCCAGGCGCCCCTGAAAATTACGGTTTCTACAAGAGCTCTATTTCCTTCCTCAAACTTGTTTTTGTCTTTTGAAAAGTTAAAGGAGCACTGACAGTAGTGACTAAAAGTTTCATAAGAATAAATAAACTAAATGCTATAAAAGACCATAGAAAAAGACTGATTTCCTTATCCAGAAAATAGCAGACAATTAGGGAACGGTGAGTTATGAATGATGCCCCCCGCGGTACTCTCCCTAGAGAGGAGAGGAGAGGTGCCTCTACCTGTGGGGGCACCTGAGGTGACTGGAATCTACCATTTGAGCAGCCTGCCACCCTTTCCAATCTTTTTGTCCTCCCCGCACACTCAATTTAACATCAGTAAACTTGCCAGTGAAGGAAACCAGAGGTCCAATGACCACCTGGCCTTGAAGGCAGGATGTGTGTCCCGACCTGTGCGCCTTGTCTTACATTTCCCCTCTGGGGAGGAGCCCAGCGTTGTGCACACAAGTAGCTGATCTTTCTTCCGATCCGACTTCTCACCATTCCGAACAACCTTAAACTAGGATGCTCATGGAACGACAAGCAGAGGCACCTGGCAGTCCTGAGAAGTCCACAGGGTCATGACTCTGACTTGACCTCCCCATCCACAGTTCTTCCAATATTCACTAACCATGTGGGTCCAAAGCGACATTACCAACCACCAGCAAAGCTGCAATGGTCACAGCAGCTGTCTCCCTCTTCCAGGCTGTTGGCAAGCTTAAGAATCCGTGAGTGGAAGGAAGAAATGGAATAAAATGGAATGGAATGGAATGGAATGGAATGGAATGGAATGGAATAGAATAGAATAGAATAGAATAGAATAGAATAGAATAGAATAGAATAGAATAGAATAGAATAGAATAGAATAGATGGAATAGAACAGAAACTCTTCATTCTTCCATGGGATTTAAGCTTCTTTCACTAAGTAGGAATAAAATCTATTAAAACAGTGCCTCATAATCTTACCACATAGTCTCATTCTTTTTCCTGTCATCACATGAAAAACAGCATATGGATACACCTTTAGCCTAAAATGACAGGTGACTTGAGAGTAGGTAAACTGCCTCACAATTCTAAGAAAAGATAAATGATTGGGCGCCTGGGTGGCTCAGTTGGTTGAGCGACTGCCTTCGGCTCAGGTCATGATCCCAGGGTCCCGGGATCGAGTCCCACATTGGGCTCCCTGCTCGGCGGGGAGTCTGCTTCTCCCTCTGACCCT